CCTTTTTGTTAAAAAAAAAATGAAGTTAGTCCTTAACCCCTCCACTGTGGGCTGTCAAAACTGGACCATATGGGAACATGCACGTTCTGGTGTAAAAGTGCCCTCAATGTAGGGTTTTAACCAGTGGTCTCCAAACTGCGGTCCAGGGGCCGGATGCAGCCCTTGCTTGCTTTTATCTGGCCCTTGGGGCACTATTTCATCCACTAATACCAACAATGGAACATACTGTAATTCCTCCACTGGCACCAATGAAGGGGCACACTTTGTCCCAATTATACCAACGATTAGGCCCATTGACACCTACGATCAGGCACAATTCCTCCCAATGACTCCGACGATGGTTCGCAATTCCTCCAAAGGACACCAATGATGAAGCACTATTCCTCCCACTGACACCAAAGATGGGGCATTGTCTATTCCCACTCACATCAGGACCTTTCCAACTTCCTAATAGCCATAGTCCAAAAGATAGTAAACTGACCCTTTGTTTAGAAAGTTTGGAGACCCCTGGTTTAGACACTGGCAGCTATAACCATGTGTGCTAGAAATGGCAAGTTTTTAATGGTGGAAATTGGTCTGAAGTACTAGTGTGGATGGATCCATATGGTGCTATGAGTTCAGAGTGAAACTTGAGGATACTTGCAGGAAGATCTATCCCATCATACAGTCTTCTTGGTGATTGATATTAAGGCAAAAGTTATTTTTAAATATTGGTAAGGGTATTCACTCCTTACCTCAGTAGAAGTGTACACTGTGTTGTGTGATTTTTGAGCACAAAAAGAGTGATTCACATACACGGTTTTTCACTATATATTGTGTATATGCACATGTGTCTATATATATTTTTATTTATACACCTTTTTCACTTGGGTGAAATATCACTGGATTGTTTTCACGTGTTAATTTGCTTTATAAAGGATAATGCACTATGTGGTTTTCATGTTTTTGTTTTTGAGGTAAATCAAGTTGATGCAAGAGGCTGAGGATTTTTACACTTGAATTGAATTTTGGACACTCGGATTGATTTATTTATTTATTTTTGTTAAAAAGGGACATATGATATTTTTGAGATATTTTTGATTTATTTAAAATTTTTGGACTTTATTTTGATTATATTCATAGATCTGAGGAAAGGATTTGTGATATTTATTTATCACTGAGCATATCATTGTTTATAGTTTTAACAGTAAGCCAGAGAAGCATCGGCGAGTTGCAGGAGGGGGAATAAGTGTTCCAGTGGCTAATAAGCCGCTTGAACTGCTTTCATTAGAAAGTCGTCTGGAAAAAAAAAATAGGCTTATGGCTGATATCTTCAGCCATAACCCTGGTAAGCCATTTGAAAACTGCAACTTTTATATACGTATTGCGGTCTGCAAGTTGTTTTAAACGATGCTCAGTTGGTACTAAGGGGCCCAAAGTGTGCCAAGAAAATATCCCCCACACACCATTACACCACCACCACCAGCCTGAACCATTGTTACAAGGCAGGATGGATCCATGCTTTCATGTTGTTTACACAAAATTCTGACCCTACCATCTGAATGTGGCAGCTGAAATTGAGACTCATCAGACCAGGCAAAGTTTTTTCAGTCTTCTATTGTACAATTTAGGTGAATCTGTGTGAACTGTAGCCTCCGTTTCCTGTTCTTAGCTGACAGGAGTGGCACCCGGGGTGGTCTTCTGCTACTGTTGCCCATCTGCTTCAAGGTTTGATGTGTTGTTTGTTCAGAGATGGTATTCTTCATACCTTGGTTGTTATAAGTGGTTATTTGAGTTACTGTTGCCTTTCTATCATCTGGAACCAATCCGCCCATTCTCCTCTGACATCAACAAGGCATTTGCGTCCACACAAATGCCACTCTATGGATATTTTCTTTTTTTCAGACCATTCTCTGTAAACCCTAGAGATAGTTGTGCATGAAAATCCCAGTAGATCAGCAGTTTTTGAAATACTCAGACCAGCCTGTCTGGCACCAACAACCACACCATGTTCAAAGTCACTCAAATCCCCTTTCTTCCACATTCTGATGCTCCATTTGAACATCAGCAAGTCGTCTTCACCACGTCTAGATGTCTAAATGCATTGAGTTACTGGCATGTGATTGGCTGACTAGCAATTTGTGTTACGAAACAGTTGAACAGGTGCCGCGCCGGGACAAGGGGTGGGCAGGAGGGGTGGCTGTTCTGGGCACTGTGGTATCATGTGCGGTGGGGGGGGGCACCACAAGGAGAATAGAGGGGAGGGGATTTGTGTTGAGAAGCGGAATTTGGGGGGGGGGGTGGCAGCAGGTAAGCATTGTTTTAACAGGGGGAGGTGTGCTAGGAGTGATTTGGGGGGATTTGTGTTGGGAGGGGGAAGATGATTTAAGTTAGTAGGGAGGATTTAAGAGGTTTGTGCTAGAAAAAGTGTGATATGGTAGGGAAGGAAGGGATTTGTACTAGAAGGGGACTTTTCTTTGGGGGGGGGGGGATTGCACTAGTAGAGATAATTGGGGGGTATTTGTGCTAGGAGGGGAAATTTGGGGAGGGGGTTGTTCTGGGGCATATGGGGAGAGAAGATTTGAGCTGGGGGGATGGCAAAGATTTGTGCTGGGTGGGGGGATTTCTGTAGGGGGCAGATTTGTAATAGAAGGAGGGGGACTTTATGCTTAAGTGATAAGAATGCAGATTAGTGCATGATTTTTTTGTGGGGGGGGGGGTTTGCTGACACATAATGCTCATACATCTTGGAGGTGATTTGACATGTTCTCCTTGGGCTCTAAACATGGCACTGAAGAGGTGTGCCTATTAAAGTGGCAGGTGAGTGTATGTATTTATATACACTATATTTGCACACATGTGTGTTTGTATTTGTTTGCTTGTCTATATTCAGGGCCATCATTGTTGAGTAGATGATTGGCTCATTGTACGCAATGCAAAAATATGTATAGCGTATGTGTGCCCTTTTTCTTTTAGGTGAGTCGGGAGGTCATAAATTAATGACTGAGGATTATTCTCCAATTTGACAATAAAGCTGAATCCATCACTCCTCAACAATGTGATATTGGACTACAAGACTGAGCACATTGAAATGACTAAGGAGTTTTCTAATACTTTGAGGGCACAAGTCATACATATATTTATGTATTTATATTTATACAAAGGGCATACAAGTCATAACGGGACATTTGTGTATATACACTGCTCAAAGAAATTAAAGGAACACTTTTTAATCAGATTATAGCATCAAGTCAATAGATCTCCTGGGATGTTGATCTGGTCAGTTAAGTAGCAGAGGGGGTTTTTAACCACTTGAGCTCCTGAGGATTTACCCCCCTTAATGACCAGGCCTCTTTTTGCTACTCGGCGCTGCACTAATTCAACTGATAATTGCGCGGTCATGCAATGCTGCACCCAAACAAAATTGACGTCCTTTTTTCACACAAATAGAGCTTTCTTTCGGTGTAATTTGATCACCTGTGCGCTTTTTATTTTTTCACGCTATAAACAAAAAAAGGCCAAAAATTTTAAAGAAAAACAATATTTTTTACTTTCAGCTATAAAAAATATATAGTAAACTCAAAGTTGGTTATAAAATTTAGGCCAAAATGTATTCTGCTACATGTTTTTGGTAAAAAAAATCCCAATAAGTGTATATTGATTGCTTTGTGTGGAAGTTATAGCGTTTACAAACTATGGTATAGATACTGCAATTTACGCCATTTTTTTCTGCTATACAGCGCTGCGCTAGTTTAACGGACAATTGCGCGGTCATGCAATACGGTACATATTTGAAATTTACATCCTTTTTTTCCCCACAAATTGAGCTTTCTTTCAGTGGTATTTGATCGCCTGTGCGGTTTTTATTTTTTTGCGCTATAAAAAAAAAGGCTGACAATTTTGAGGAAAAAAAAAAAACAATATTTTGGACTTTTTGCTATAAAACATGTCCAGTAAAAAAAAAATGCAAAAATCAAATTTAGTCATAAATTTCTGCCAAAATGCATTCTGTGACATGTCTTTGCTAAAAAAAATCCCAATACGTGTAAATTAATTGGTTTACGTGAAAGTTATAGCGTTTACAAATGGCGGGAAAGATACTGGAATTTTTAATTTTTATTTATACTAATAATGGCGCCCGATCAGCGACTTTTGGCGGCAATCAGCGACATATGGCGGCGACCAGCGACTTATGGCAGGACTGCGGGACTGCGGCGAACATTTTGACACTGGGGGGGAACTGACTTGGGGTCACTGACATCCCCAGTGACACCAATACAGTGATCAGTGAAAAAACAACCACTGAAACTGTATAATGTCACTGGGGAGGAAGGGGTTAACATTTTTAGAATTGCTGTGTAAGGAAGTGTTTTACTAGGGGGCTGGGGGTGTGTACTGGACAGGGGGGAGGGAGGGGGGAGCTGATCGAGGGAGAGAAACTCTGCAGCTTCTGACAAGCTGTCAGAGAACTGACACAGAACAGGGCTGTGTGTAAACAATGCAGCCCTGCTCTGTGTCAGCCCTACAGGGCACTTATACACCCTTCCTGCCCAGGCCAATTTCCAGCTCTCAGCGCTGTCACACTTTGAATGACAATTGCGTGGTCATGCAACACTGTACCCATATGAAATTTTTATCATTTTTTTTTGAGACAGATAGAGCTTTATTTTTGGTGGTATTTAATCACCTCTAGGTTTTATATTTTTTCTTAAACAAACCAAAAAACCACTGAAAATTTTGAAAAAAACATGTTTTTTTTCTTAGTTTTTGTTATAAAATTTTGTAAATAAGTGATTTTTCTCCTTCACTGATGTGCGCTAATGAGGCTGTAGTGATGGGCACTGATAAGATGCACTGATGGACACTGATAGGTGGCACTGATGGGCACTGATGAGGAGGCACTGGTAGGTGGCACTGATGGGCATTGACAGGCATCACTGATGGGCACTGAAAGGCAGCACTGATATATGGCACTCATAGGCGGCACTGATAGGCGGCACTGATAGGAGGCACTGACTGGCACTGATAGGCGGCACTGACTGGCACTGATAGGCGGCACTGATTGGCAGCACTGATAGGTGGCACTGATTGGCATTGATAGGTGGCACTGACTGGCACTGATGGGTGACACTGAAGGGCAGCTCAGATGGGCACACTGATATGTGGCATTGATGTGCACTGGTAGGCACTGATATGTGGCATTGATGTGGCACTGATGGGCACTGGTACTGGCACGTGGCACTGTTCAGCACTGACAGCTGGCACTGATGGAAACTGACAGGTGGCCCTTCTGGGGCCACACTGATCATCAGTGCCCTAATGATCAGTGTACATGTCTCCTCTGTGGAATGCCGATTACCGGCTCTCCTCTCCTCTCAAGCTGTCAGCGAGAGGAATTGTCAATTGCGCGCGAGAGGAGAAAAATGCCGATAACCGGCATTTCCGTGTTTACATGTGATCAGCTGTGATTGGACTCAGCTGATCACAGGACCCGAGCCAACATCTTCGGCTCTTTCCATGGATCGGTGATCCGCTGTGTCTGAGGGACACAGAGCACCGCCGATTGCCGTGCTGCTGCGCACTACCTGAGCCACGCATGCGCGGTGAGAATGGAAGGACGTCAAAAGACGGGCCTATCAGAACGAGAGAACCACCTTGAGCCCGTCATTGGACTATATTGAGGACGGGAGGTGGTTAATCAGATTCAGCTGCTTACACTAGATGGGCAACAATGAGACGACCCCCAAAACAGGAATGGTTTTACAGGTGGAGGCCACTGACATTTTTTCCCTACCAGGGGCGGACTGACAACTCATGGGGCCCCCGGGCAATAGGGGATCATGGGCCCCTGTGTCCTTACCCAAACTCAAAAAAGCCTATGAAAAAGGTACCAGGGGCATCTCATGTGGCCCGAGTTTCCAAATGGTCAGTCCGCCCCTGTTCCCTGCTCATCTTTTCTGACTGTTTTTCACTAGTTTTACATTTTGGCTAGGGTCAGTGTCACTGCTGGTAGCATGAGGCAATACCTGGACGCTACAGAGGTTGCACAGGCAATGAAACTCCTCCATGATGGTACATCAATACATGTGTTAGGAATGGACTGGCCAGCAATGGTGGGACTCACCTGCCTTTTGATCTGCAGTACCAGGGCTGGCCAGCGGGTGTTCCCTGCAATCAGAGACTCAACTTTGCAGCCAGCTAACACCTGTAACTGATGATGCTGGGGTATTTAAGGGATGGCCAGACCCACAGACTCTGCCTTGGTGTTGTGTTTCTCTTGGCCCTGTATCCTGTTCCTGCTCTCTGTTCCTGTCTGATTCTCTGCTACCTGTCCTGATCCCTGGCTTGTGACCCTGACCATCTCTCTGCTTGACCCTCTGTACTACGCTGCTTGCTACCTGCTGAACCTGGCCTGTGACCCCGACCATTCTCTGCTTGCTCCCCCTGTACCTACCTGCCCTATTGATATTGACCCGGCCTGCCTGACGACGCTTGCTTGTATATACTGTTATCTGTGGGTGGTTGGTTTGGTTTGGTTTGCACTGTGTTATGTTTTAGTATTGCACTGCGTTTATGTTTGTATTGTTAGTGTTAATAAATTGTATTGTTTATCACATATCTGAAGTCTGCGTTTCCCTGCATCAGTCACACACACTCTGGTCATACCTGGGAGCCCTGACATTACACCAAGGCCAATCCTGACCAGAAGTGGCTGCACAGGGAAGCCATCTTGGCTTGTTGATGGGAAGGATGGATCTTGATGAGGTTGAGTATTTATATCTGCTAGTGTTTGATGACAGGGAGTATGCTTATCAAACTCTGAAGGAGTATACCCGGGATGAATTGCTAGAATGTATACGGCTCGCTCATGTTCTAGTAGATCAGGGCACAGTGTTCTCTGAGGTGCAGCCATTGATTGAGGTTTGTGCAGAGTTGGTTTCATCTGGTTCCCCCGAATGCAGGGATGAATTTTTGCCACCATTTAGTGCAGACCAGGTAGAGTCCCTGGTGTGGTTATTATTAGGATGATGTGGGTTACTTTCTGGAGCGTTATTCCACATGTTCACCACAGACACTGCGAGATTGTATAAACGCAGTGCAGTCATTGACCAGACAGGCTTTGTGTAAGCTCAGCTTTGTTCAACCCCTACTGCAGACATGGACAGACTTGTTGCACCCAGCCTCAGTCAGCTTACAAAGACCCAGTCCTGCTTCTAACTCTACTCCTGTATTCCCACCAGCTCCTCCAGTTACAGCCCAGTATACTTGGCTATCTACCGCATGTCAGTACCCTGTTCCCACTCGCTGCACCTATCCTGCCTTTAATCCTGTAAAAAAGCCCTCTGTAGCAACTGCTCCCTCTCCTGTTCCATCCTCCAGTTCTTCTCTGTCTCCAGCTGCTCCATTCGTTTGCAGACCTGCGTTTACTTGCAGTGCTCCAGTAGTTAAAACCAGAAAAAAGCGAAAATTCTTTCCAACCAATACCATCCTGCCAGTATCCAAACCGGTGAGCTGCCTTCCGTGGTTCAGACTGAAGCCTCTACTTGGCCTGAAGCCTCTACTTGGCCTGAAGCCCTCTACGCGGCCTGAAGCCTCTACGCGGCCTGAAGCCTCTCCTCGGCCTGAAGCCTCTACGCGGCCTGAAGCCTCTCCTCGGCCTGAAGCCTCTACGCGGCCTGAAGCCTCTCCTCGGCCTGAAGCCTCTCCTCGGCCTGAAGCCCCTACTCGGCCTGATGCCTGTACTCTGCCTGATGCCTCTACTCGGCCTGAAGCCCTACTCGGCCTGAAGCCCCTACTCGGCCTGAAGCCTCTCCTCAGCCTGAAGCCTCTCCTCACTCGGCCCTGAAGCCTCTACTCGGCCTGATGCCTGTACTTGGCCTGATGCCTGTACTCGGCCTGATGCCTCTCTTCAGCCTGAAGCCTCTACTCGGCCTGAAGCCTCTACTCGGCCTGAAGCCTCTACTCGGCCTGAAGCCTCTACTCGGCCTAATGCCTCTACCCAGCATGATGAACTGATCCAGCCTGACGATCCTATTAGGCCAGTTGACTCGATGCCCGCTGTTGATCCAGATGATCCGGTACCTGATCCGGTGCCCGCTGTCGTGCCAATTGACTCAGAGCCCGCTGTCGTACCTGGTGACTCGGTGCCCACTGCCTTGCCAGATGACGCGGTGCCCGCTGGCAAGCCAAATGACCTGATGCCTGGTGACCTAGTGTCCGCTGTCATACCTGATGACCCGATGCCCGCTGTCCAGAGCCAGACGATTCAATGTCTGCCCCGGTGCCCGCGGTCATGCCCAGTTGACTCGGAGCCCACTGCCTTGCCAGATGACGCGGTGCTCGCTGTCGAGCCAAATGACTTGATGCCTGGTGACCCGATGCCCGCTGTCCAGTCAGACGATCCAATGTCTGACCCAGTGCCCGCGGTCATACCAGTTGACTCGGAGCCCACTGCCTTGCCAGATGACGCGGTACCCGCGGTCGAGCCAAATGACCTGATGCCTGGTGACCCGATGCCCGCTGTCCAGCCAGACGATTCAATGTCTGCCCCGGTGCCCGCGGTCATGCCAGTTGACTCGGAGCCCACGGCCTTGCCAGATGACGCGGTGCCCGCGGTCGAGCCAAATGACCTGATGCCTGGTGACCCGATGCCCGCTGTCCGGTCAGACGATCCAATGTCTGACCCAGTGCCCGCGGTCATACCAGTTGACTCGGAGCCCACTGCCTTGCCAGATGGCGCGGTGCCCGCTGTCGAGCCAAATGTGACCTGATGCCTGGTGACCCGATGCCCGCTGTCCAGCCAGACCATCCAATGTCTGACCCAGTGCCTGCGGTCATACCAGTTGACTCGGAGCCCACTGTCGTGCCTGGTGTCTCGGTGCCCGCCGCTCCGCCTGGGGGCCCGAGACCTGTCGCTCCTCCTGGGGGTCCGGCGCCCGCCGCTCCGCCTGAGGGCCCGAGACCTGTCGCTCCACCTGGGGGTCCGGCGCCCGCCGCTCCGCCTGAGGGCCCGAGACCTGTCGCTCCATCTGGGGGTCCGGCGCCCGCCGCTCCGCCTGAGGGGGCCCGAGACCTGTCGCTCCTCCTGGGGGTCCGGCGCCCGCCGCTCCGCCTGAGGGCCCGAGACCTGTCGCTCCGCCTGGGGGTCCGGCGCCTGCCGCTCCGCCTGAGGGCCCGAGACCTGTCGCTCCCCTGGGGGTCCGGCGCCCGCCGCTCCCGCCTGAGGGCCCGAGACCTGTCGCTCCTCCTGGGGGTCCGGCGCCCGCCGCTCCGCCTGAGGGCCCGAGACCTGTCGCTCCGCCTGGGGGTCCGGCGCGCCTTGCCGCTCCGCCTGAGGGCCCGAGACCTGTCGCTCCGCCGGGGGTCCGGCGCCCGCCGCTCCGCCTGAGGGCCCGAGACCTGTCGCTCCTTCTGGAGGTCCGGCGCCCGTCGCTCGCGCTCCGCCTGAGGGCCCGAGACCTGTCGCTCGCACCACCTGGGGGTCCGGCCCCGCCGCTCCCCCTGGGGGCACGATGCCTGTCGCCCCGCCTGGGGGCACGATGCCTGTCGCCCCGCCTGGGGGCACGATGCCTGTCGCCCCGCCTGGGGGCCCGATGCCTGTCGCCCCCGCCTGGGGGCCCGATGCCTGTCGCCCCTCCTGGGGGCCCGATGCCTGTCGCCCGCCGCCTGGGGCCCGATGCCTGTCGCCCCGCCTGGGGGCCCGATGCCTGTCGCCCCGCCTGGGGGCCCGGTGCCTGTCGCCCCGCCTGGGGGCCCGGTGCCTGTCGCCCCGCCTGGGGGCCCGGTGCCTGTCGCCCCGCCTGGGGGCCCGGTGCCTGTCGCCCCGCCTGGGGGCCCGGTGCCTGCCGCTCCGCCCGGGGCCGGTGCCTGCCGCTCCGCCCGGGGGCCCCGGTGCCTGCCGCCGCTCCGCCCGGGGGCCCGTGCCTGCCGCTCCGCCCGGGGGCCCGGTGCCTGCCGCTCCGCCCGGGGGCCCGGTGCCTGCCGCTCCGCCCGGGGGCCCGGTGCCTGCCGCTCCGCCCCGGGGGGCCCGGTGCCTGCCGCTCCGCCCGGGGCCCGGTGCCTGCCGCCCCGCCCGGGGGCCCGGTGCCTGCCGCTCCGCCCGGGGGCCCGGTGCCTGCCGCTCCGCCCGGGGGCCCGGTGCCTGCCGCTCCGCCCGGGGGCCCGGTGCCTGTCGCCCCGCCCGGGGGCCCGGTGCCTGTCGCCCCGCCCGGGGGCCCGGTGCCTGTCCCCCGCCCGGGGGCCCGGTGCCTGTCGCCCCGCCCGGGGGCCCGGTGCCTGTCGCCCCGCCCGGGGGCCCGGTGCCTGCCGCTCCCGCCCGGGGGCCCGGTGCCTGCCGCTCCGCCCGGGGGCCCGGTGCCTGTAGCCCCGCCCGGGGGCCCGGTGCCTGCTGCTCCGCCCGGGGGCCCGGTGCCTGCTGCTGCCTGCTGTGGCCCCCCTGGGGCCCTGCTGCTGCTTCTCCTGGTAATCCGATGTGCCTCTGCCCGGAGTCCTGCCCGATGTGCCTCTGCCCGGAATCCTGCCCGATGTGCCTCTGCCCGGAGTCCTGCCCGATGTGCCTCTGCCCGGAGTCCTGCCCGATGTGCCTCTGCCCGGAGTCCTGCCGATGTGCCTCTGCCCGGAGTCCTGCCCGATGTGCCTCTGCCCGGAGTCCTGCCCGGTGTGCCTCTGCCCGGTGTGCCTCTGCTCGATGTGCCTCTGCCCGAGTCCTGCCCGATGTGCCTCTGCCCGGAGTCCTGCCCGATGTGCCTCTGCCCGGAATCCTGCCCGATGTGCCTCTGCCCGGAGTCCTGCCCGATGTGCCTCTGCCCGGAGTCCTGCCCGATGTGCCTCTGCCCGGAGTCCTGCCCGATGTGCCTCTGCCCGGAGTCCTGCCCGGTGTGCCTCTGCCCGGTGTGCCGCTGCCCGGAGTCCAGCCCGGTGTGCCGCTGCCCGGAGTCCTGCCGGTGTGCCAGTCTTTGATATCCCGCCAGTTACCAGACCCGGGCGGTGGAACATTTTGCCCAGCTAGGACTGTTTGGAGCGTCCTGAGGCCGCTCCTTGAGGGGGGGGTACTGTTAGGAATGGACTGGCCAGCAATGGTGGGACTCACCTGCCTAATCTGCAGTACCAGGGCTGGCCAGCGGTGTTCCCTGCAATCAGAGACTCAACTTTGCAGCCAGCTAACACCTGTAACTGATGATGCTGGGGTATTTAAGGGATGGCCAGACCCACAGACTCTGCCTTGGTGTTGTGTTTTCTCTTGGCCCTGTATCCTGTTCCTGCTCTCTGTTCCTGTCTGATTCTCTGCTACCTGTCCTGATCCCTGGCTTGTGACCCTGACCATCTCTCTGCTTGACCCTCTGTACTACGCTGCTTGCTACCTGCTGAACCTGGCCTGTGACCCCGACCATTCTCTGCTTGCTCCCCCTGTACCTACCTGCCCTATTGATATTGACCCGGCCTGCCTGACGACGCTTGCTTGTATATACTGTTATCTGTGGGTGGTTGGTTTGGTTTGGTTGCACTGTGTTATGTTTTAGTATTGCACTGCGTTTATGTTTGTATTGTTAGTGTTAATAAATTGTATTGTTTATCACATATCTGAAGTCTGCGTTTCCCTGCATCAGTCACACACCTCTGGTCATACCTGGGAGCCCTGACAACATGCATTGCCAGAAGGTTTTTTGTGTCTCCCAGCACAGACTCAAGAGCATGGAGGAAATTCCAGGAGACAGGCAGATACTCTAGGAGAGCTGGACAGGGCCATAGAAGGTCCTTAACCCATCAGCAGGACCGGTATCTGCTCCTTTATGCAAGGAGGAACAGGAATGATGAGCACTGCCAGAGCCCTACAAAATGACCTCCAGCGGGCCACTGGTGTGACTCTCTGACCAAACAATCAGAAACAGACTTCATGAGTGTGGCCTGAGGGCCAGACATCCTCTAGATGGCCCTGTGCTCACTGCTCAGCACCATAGAGCTCGTTGGCAGTTGCCATTGAACATCAGAACTGGCAGGTCCACCACTGGTGCACTGTGCTTTCCACAGATGAGAGCAGGTTCACTCTGAGCACATGTGACAGACATGGAAGAGTCTGGAGAAGCCATGGAGAATGTTATGCTGCTCGTAACATCGTTCAGCATGACTGTTTTGGTGGTGAGTCGGTGATGGTCTGGGGAGGCATATCCATGGAGGGAAGCACAGACCTCTACAGGTTAGACAATGGCACCCTACCTACCATTAGGTATCGTGATGAAATTCTTGGACCCATTGTCAGACCCTACGTTGCTGCAGTGGGCCCTGGGTTCCTCCTGGTGCATGACAATGCCTGGCCCCATGTGACGAGAGTATGCTGGAAGTTGCTGGAGGATGAAGGAATTGATGCCATTGAATGGCCCCCACGCTCAGCTGACCTAAATCCAATAGAACACCTCTGGGATATCATGTTTCAGTCCTATCCGACACACCAGGTTGCACCTCAGACTGTCCAGGAGCTCAGTGCAGCCCTGGCCCAGATCTGGGAGGAAATACCCCAGGACACCATCCGTCATTTCATTAGGAGCATGCCCCGACGTTGGCAGGCATGCATACAAGCACGTGGGGGCCATACAAACTACTGAATACCATTTTGAGTTGCTGCAATAAAATTTCAGCAAAATGGACTAGCCTGCTGCATAATTTTTTCACTTTGATTTTCAGGGTTTCTTTGAATTCAGTCCTCTGTAGGTTGATAATTTTCAGTGTATAAGTTCCTAACACATTACTCGGTCCATATCAGTATAGATATCCAGCATAATATTTCTCCCCATTGAGACCTAATGTGTTTTCAATGTGCTCCTTTAATTTTTTTTGAGCAGTGTATATGTGTGTGTGTGTGTGTGTGTGTTGCTTTGTCCATATCAGACATCAGTAAATGATAGACCCCATGCTCCGGGCTTAATCTCTCTTGTTTACTCCGCTATTATTTCTTATAGAATGCCTCCGGTTCGTTCTTATCATCAGCATTGGCAGTCGGACCTCGGGGGAACTCTGGACCAGCAGGATTGGTGGACTATGACCCAAGCATTATCTAAATGTTCTAGGAATGTTATTATTCTAGAAAATGCCTACAAGGTTCTTTATAGATGGTATTACACGCCTGCCCGTCTAGCTCGTTTTATCCCCATACACTCCCCGATTTGCTTTCGGGGTTGTCAATAAATAGGCACCATGGCCCATATTTGGTGGACTTGCCCCAAGGTTTGCAGATTGTGGATCAGGGTCTATGCCCTTCTCTGCACTATGTTTCACACAGACATTAAGCGCAACCCGTATTAAACCATTAGTGGGCCTACTTCGTCCTGAACGGCAGCTGGCATCGCATCTATTCATGGCTACCAAACTGACGATTGCGAGGGCTTGGAAGACCTCCCTCCTCAGCTTCGAGGCTGTCAAAAATCGGATGAATTTTATAATGGTTAATGAAAAACTGACGGCTATACTGTTAGACACCCATACAAAGTTTCTGCAGACATGGCGTTCCTGGCTTGATATAGCCCAACCGTCAAGATTTGACCAGTCCCTTTTGTTTTTTGTTTTTCTTCTTCCGTCTTGGTCCCCCTGGAGCCCTTTCTTTGTCCTTTGTCTCTATTCTCTTTATTCCTCTCTTTCTCTTTTCTGCTCAGTCTGTTTTCATGATATTTGTGCTGATTGTAATTTTTGTTTTAAGTACCGTACCAGCAATACTATATCCACCTGTCGGACTTCATTGGGAGTCCTGAGTATAGAGTACCAATATGCATTCAGCGAGGCTCCATGTTCCATCTTTCCCGCCTGCTGTATGCAGATTTTGTGATAATCTTTTCTCTTAGTTTATTAACTCATTGGTCTCTAAATGTCTACCATTTTTTGCAACTTGTTTTATTTTCCCTCTTTATATACGGCACTTGTGTACTAAGTTTATTTTCTTGTCTATCCATCAGTACATTCCCTGTATTATGCATCAGAAAACTTGTATGTTTTATTTCTGTTGGTCAGTGCATCTGTTTCTGACTGATTCTCTGATGTTATCTATTCTGCAATAAAATTCATTGTAAAAGACATCAGTAAATGATGGTCTGGACCGGATCTGGGCTAAACTACTGTCCTATCTGGACCATCGTGATCACTCCATTTAGCAGCTGTTTTTTTCCCCCAACC